CTCTCTCTCTGACAAATAAATAAATAAAATCTTTAAAAAAATAAATAAATAAATAAATAAATGAATAAAATCTTAAAAAAATAAGATAATGCTTTGTCTTTGATATCTTATCTACGTGCATCATAACATTTTCCTATGACATTAAAATGCAAACATTTTAACTGCTGAATCATATTCAACAATCTATTTTTTTTAAAGATTTTATTTATTTATTTGACAGCAGAGATCACAAATAGGCAGAGAGGCAGGCAGAGAGAGAGAGGGAAGCAGGCTCCCTGCTGAGCAAAGATCCCGATGTGGGGCTCGATCCCAGCACCCTGAGATCATGACCCAAGCTGAAGGCAGAGACTTAACCTACTGAGCTACCCAGGTGCCCCTCAACAATGTATTTAACCACTATCATCTTACTAGAGATTTAAGTTGTTGCCTGAGTAATTCTGGAACATAAGCCTGCATTTCAATTTTTATTAAAAGATTATTAAAAATGAAGTTATTCGGGGTGCCTGGGTGGCTCAGTGGATTAAAGTCTCTGCCTTCGGCCCAGGTTATGATCCCAGGATCCGGGGATCGAGCCCCACATGGGGCTCTCTGCTCAGCAGGAAGCCTGCTTCCTCCTCTTTCTCTGCCTACCTCTCTGCCTACTTGTGATCTCTCTGTCAAATAAATAAATAAAATCTTTAAAGAAAAAATAAAAATTTTTAAAAACTGAAGTTATTCAACCAAAAATAGAGTTAGGAAAGCTTCACTATGTGAAACGGCTTCCCAGAAACACTACACAAATTTAAATTTCTATCACCAGTATCTATAAGTGGCTGTCTTAATCTAAACCAAATACATTGAACCAGTTTTTAAAGTGTAAAATAACAATTATGAATACTTGTGTAATATTTATCATAAGATGTGACATAAGTACTATTACACATTAGGAAAATGAAAAGCACAGAAAGGTTAGTTGAATTGACCAAGATCATACAACATCTAAGTGGCAGAAATGGTACTCAAATTATGGCAGTCCCCTTGCTCCAGAATTCCTACTGTTACTCATTATGCTATAGTACTTCTTGAAAACAGTACCTCATTATTTAACTTTTCATTTCTTTCATGACTAGAAACGGTAAACAGACTTTTAAGGTTTATTAACATTAGCACCCTCTCTTCTATGACAATCCATACATAATTGGTAATACAATTGGTAACTTCTTAATTCAAATATTTACCAGTGCTAAGCATTTTACTAAGCAATGGGAAGAACAGGATTTAGAAAACTATAGTCCTAGGGGCATGTGCACCCCAATGTGCTCCCCAATGTTATAGAAGGACTTATAGCAGCAATGTCCACTAGCCAAACTATGGAAAGAGCCCAGATGTCCATCAACAGATGAATGGATAAAGACCACACACACACACACACACACACACACACACACTGAAATATTATGCAGCCTCAAAAAAAAAAAAAAAAAAACAAAAAAATATTACACCAAAAAAAAAAAAAAAAAAAAAACGCCAAAATCTTGCCATTTGAAACAATGTGGATAGAACTAGAGGGTAGTATGTTAAGCGAAATAAGTCAATCAGGGAAAGACAATTATCATATGATCTCATTGATATGAGGAATTTCAGGAACAAGACAGAGGATCACAGGGGAAGAGAGGGAAAAATGAAATAAGATGAAACCAGAGAGTGAGAGAAACCATAAGAAACTCTTTAATCCCAGGAAACTGAGGGTTGCTGGAGGGAAGGGGAGTGGGAGCAATAGGGTGGCTGGGTGATGGACATGGGAGAGAGTATGTGCTATACCCGGTGCTGTGAATTGTGTAAGACTGATGAATCACAGACCTATACCTCTGAAACAAATAATACATTATATGTTAATTTTAAAAAAGAAAGAAAGAAAAGAAAACTATAGACCTTGCCCTCATGGAACTCAGTCCAGGGAAGAGAACTAACAAGTAACAAACAACTGAAATATCATAGTAAATATTATGATGATGGTATGCGTACAGAATTTCAGGTAAGGCTGCTTCTAACCTAGATGGAAAACTAGGGAAGAGTAGAGAGGCAACTGGATAAGTGAAGTTAGATCTGAAAGTAAATGAAATGAAAGTAAATTAGCCTTGAAGGACTTAAAGAATTTTGCTAGGGAAAACCATGAGAAAAGAGAATAAACAGGATAAAAAATAATACACTAAAGACATATAAGCTATGAGAAAGGAGAATAATAAATCTGAAGCTATGATAATTAAATCATCCAATGTCACCAGTACAGTCAGCAGAAATGAGAAAGAAAGAAAGAAAGAAAGAAAAAGCAAGATGGTAGGGAGAACACCAATGTTTTAAGAGATGGGCAAAGAAAAAGCGAGCAGTTCTCCACTAACTATCAAGAAGTACAAAATGGTAGCCACAAAACCAAAAGACAACACAGCATACTATTACAGAAACCATGGACCAATGAGGGGAGAGTGTAAAAAAAGTAATTAGCATTGTCAAATGCTTTCAATTCTTACATCCAGCGTAATAAACTATTCTGCACCCTAAAATTTTTCACACCATATTCCCACTTTAACCAAACCTTGCTCTCCCTCAAAGACACAGTCTGTCTCGGAACTCTTTTAAATAAAAATTGATCAACTGATAAACTCTCACACCCCATGTCCATTTCCAAAAATTAGTCTTCCACTCCAAACCACTCTGATCTGGCTCAATCCAAGCAGTGAAATCACTCTACTGATCTTAGCCATCTACAAAACATCCCGGTCATTTCCTACCATCACTGATACCTCTTGTCTTTTGCCTTTTGGTTCATGCATATTTTCAACACCAGCGATCCTAATCTCTAACTCAGAAAAAGCATCCCATGGTCACCAATTAACCTTTTTCATTAATTACCCTGAAATGCTCCATTCTTCAAAACCTTATTTAAACAAATGCTGAGAGTCTTTAATATGACTTTTAAAAAATACATTTAGGGGTGCCTGGGTGGCTCAGTGGGTTAGGGCCTCTGCCTTCGGCTCAGGTCATGATCTCAGGGTCCTGGGATCGAGCCCCGCATCGGGCTCTCCGCTCTGCGAGGAGCCTGCTTCCCTCTCTCTCTGCCTGCCTCTCTGCCTACTTGTGATCTCTCTCTGTCAAATAAATAAATAAAATCTTTAAAAAAAAAATACATTTAAAGGAAAGATAAAATCAACATTTATAATATCAACATCCAGAGATAGCCAATATCACTGGTGTGATACATAATACATAATTAAGATCATATTAATAATTTCATTCCAGTTTTGAGCTTGAAACACCAGAGAAAAATTTCCAATATCACCTGAAACCCCAAAATAGTAAACTCTAATGCCCTATTCTCTAAGGATAATGCCCCACCCTCTTAGTACCCCAAAGCTTATGCTGGACAACACATCTACTATTATATATGGATGTTGCTTTACATGAGGTAAACTTATTTTTTTGAAGACAATAATTTTATTGACAATCAAAAATCCAGGGAATATAAAAATAAAAATACTATAAAATCTAAAAAATAAAGGATTAAACTAGTAAGATACAAATGCTGCCCTAAGATAGAGAACATAAGATGACGCAACGTACCTATGTAAAAAAGTCTGGAAAAGTGTCAAGACAAAAAAAAATTGTTACGGTTTAGAGAAATGGAAATCACTTAGCACATACTAAATTTGAGGCATTTGTATTTGATGAGATTCTAAGGGTGTTTGGCTAAGTATTAGGGCACTGTGATAACTGTGATTTATAATAAAAAATATATAATTGGTCTTCATTCAGCTCCTGTCCACAGCTCCTAAAACCCTTAATGTTAAGTTTCCGTCCACTTAATGACATGCCTGGGGGCTAAGGGCTCCTGCAGAACCCCAAATGAGGGCTGGTTGCCAAGGGAACCAACCGTACAGGTTGGTGAACACGTGGAGATACTGAGAGGGTGGCACACCTTGACAGTGTATGGAAGTTCTACATCCCTTCACACATACCTTGCTCTGTGCATCTCTTCCATCTAGCTGTTCCTGAGCTGTATATTCTTTTATAATGAAGTGGTATCCCAGCAAGTAACTGTTTTCCTGAGTTTGGTAAGCCATTCTAGCAAATTATCAAACCCAAAGAGGAGGTCATAGGAATCTCCAATTTATAGTCAGTCCGAAGAACAGGTG